GCCATCATCAAAGCATGTAAGTGCCCATTTCATTATAGCCTCACCAAAAGAATATATCACATTTGATAGAATTTTACAACATGGTAGACAATTTGGAGCCTTGTATATAGGTCTATAAGGGCAAGAATTGGGGGAAGAGGGTCCAGGCTGAAAGACGGATGTGCTTGCATGAGGAGATGGACACAAAGCAGGAGGAATTAGCTGCAATAATGTGCTCTACATTTTCTTTGAACTCAAAAGCCTTATGAGGACAGTATAAAATCATGTCTACACGATGTATCCCTATTAAAAAAAAAATACCTGTGATCCCTCAATCTCTCAGGCAAGCCAAACTTCCTTCTACAAAACTTTTACTTCTTTTTTGGAGAATTGCTTACATTTCCTTCAGGCAAATGGATTGATCACACTCTGACATGACAGGTAGGTACACAAACCAGCAGAACCTACGAGAATGCCACATTGCCCTGGTTGAAGTGATGGTTCCAAAAACCTCAGGGAATTCAAACAGAGACTATCTGGATTATTCCTGCTAACTTTCAGAGAAAAAAGGCTTGCATTTACTGCTTGATTACCAAGCTGACAATAACACTACTATAAAGAGATATTTGTAACAGCACAAGATGACCTCATTTTATACAAAATAAATACAAAGGAAAGCAGAACATGCAAAAGGGAAACAGTGCCCTAAAAGATGGTTACATATTTATAAACTGGGGCATACTGTACCACAAATTATAAAATGCAGTAACTTCCCTTTTTGTTTATAATACTTTGAGTTTGGTTATTTCCAGCCCACATAATCAAACCAATTGAGTATTCTTTCAGGAAAATGTTTGGCCTGAGTATGACATTTTAGTCATTTCAGGATATTATGGGCAAAAATATAATATTTACTGGAGATAGTTGGAGTTAGTCTAATATTTGCTTACTAAGTATTAATTAAGTATAAAGTAATGGTCTGAAACAGAGTTAATTCTTTTCCCTGAGCTGTATAATAAGTGAAAAGTATTGAAACTGTCAATGAATACAGAAGCCTTCAAAATGGACTGCCTACTGATTCTTCCAGTGATTTAGCACTGAGACATACTTGAGTACATCAGAAATACTAGAATATATTTGAGTATATCAAAAAACACTTGTAAAGGCTTACTGTGTGGCATAAGTATAGTTCCTTTTCTATTTACCAAATCTCTACTGATGAAACATACCAACAATATTCATTATTATTGTTTTTTTAATGAGGTAATCTTGGTTTACATGGTTGTTTGTAAATCACAAGTATAGGATCCTCCCCTTCCTGTGCAGTTATCATAACACTCTTATTTTTTTTAAATATTTATTTATTTATGCATACAAGAGCTGGGGTACAGGTCAGAGATGCAGGGGGTGAGAGGATTCACCAGAGACAGAGTGGGGAGCAGAACAGGCAGACTGAAATACACTGCTGAGGGGAGCAGCGGGCAAGATAGGAGAGGTCTGCCTCGGTTTGTGGGTTTCTCTCTGGCCAGCTGGGGATCAAATCCGTGCTACACATGCTGTGGATTGCTTCATAGTGCGGTGCTTAACCCCTTGCGCCACCAGGGAGGCCCAACACTCCTTTTTAAAGTACACTTGTAGTTTTAAAAATTTGGCTTCCCATTAACATTTTTCTAACTCTCCAGACTTGGACCGAAGTTATACAACTCTCCACAAATGTTCTTCCAGTCTGTAGCCACTATGGGACTTGCCTTCCTGTAATTGCTTCAGTTGCCAGCCCTTCCCCAACCATCCAAGCTCTGGGTCACTTCCAACCCATCCTCCCTCACATTCCTTTTGCTATTTGAGCTGCTTGCTCTCTGTCTATAAATTTCATTCCTAACACATTTTCTGCATACAGTGACTGTTTTCATTGCTGAAATTTAAAGCAGAATACACTTGTCTCCCCATTTAAGAGACTGAGAGACTGATATGCAAATAATAGTTAAATTTTAATACAGTAAATTCTATGAGACAGGGGGTTAAACCCCATCATCAAAATTACAGACAAGTAGCAAGCTAAGTGTAAAAAGAGACAGTAGTTCTTGGGATAGAATTCAAAGCTCACACGAGTCTTGAGCTGACATTTGATCACTTTTATTTGCTTGAAAATATTCTCTTTTCTTGTAATACCTAAAGTCCCCAATTTCCCTAAGAAAATGGATTAAATATTATTTTCCTAAATTTGCCAAATGTAATTCTATTTGAAAATAGACTTCAAGGTTATGGTAAGTGCATTAACATTTCCAGATAAACACCTGTTTTTATGAATTATAGAAGTCAGACAATCCACATCATTATACTAGAACAACTGTTACATAGGCTTAGTAACTAATTTACCAACAATTTTATTTCATAAGCTTTTATGTAAAAAGATAAAATAATCACTCAGCATTTTCCTTTAATCCTCATTGACTTACTCATTAATTTTATAAAGGAGTTAACCTAGAACTCAATTATATCACATCATGTGCTTTTATGATTAAGCAGGTGGTAATGCTTGGACTATAAGCTCTGCTCTGTCAAAAAAGAAACTTCCTCCTACATCAGAAATTAATGTGCTTGTAAGGCAGCAGCAATTTGTTTATGGGTTGCTCGTGCAAGGAAGACATCATTAAAGGATCCTTCAGCGCCCGCACACCTCAGATAGAACCTAGAGCATAATTGGTTTTGAACATGTTAAAATTGATAAACAACTTTCCAAGTGTAATTACATTCCATATAATTTTGCTTATTGTGCATTCAGTGAAAGGAAGAATGAGAACTTAAAAAATTGGTTCTCTTTTAAACACAAGTAAGTGTTTGGTTATCTTCCTTCATTTCATGTGTGTGGGCATAGGAGATGGTGTGTGTATTAGTGACCGTAACCATTTCTGTTGTATGTACTTACTTTGAAAACTGAGTCATGTTTTCTAGCACGTTACAGGAAAAGAGCAAGAGGAAATGTAAGTGAGAAGGAGACATGTCCACCTTGGGATATTTCTGAGATTGCTGGATTTAAGAGACATATGAGACTTGATCACATAGAACAATTATTCTGCCTCCTGCTCTGACTCCAGAAACTTAGCCTTTGCCCAGCCTGGGCACTGCTGAGCTATCTCTTTATAAACCTTGACAACAGACCAGGATAGAATGATGCTGTGGGCACACCATCTCCATGAGCTAGTCACCCATGAGGTGTTCACAAGCCCTGCACGACCCAGAGCTGCAGCCAATTAGTGCTCACAATTGGCAACAAGAAATGGACCACACTCGGACAGACACATGGACTTTAGCGAAGTCCATGCACCTTGTTTTCTCAGCCAATAAAGTTTAATTCCACTGTTCTCAACACCCAGCTCTAAAACCTATATAGACGCCTAGTCCTGGCACCTCAAGAGTCACTCTCAGGTCCAAAGAGGTCTCCCCAGAGCTCTCTTTCCTTGCTTTTTCATAATCAATCAATAAATGCTGACTCCTTGCCTCCCTCATCGGTGCTTGTGGAGTCTCTTTTCAGGCTTGATCGGAGGCTCCCAAGAGCCCTTTCCTAAGCCTGGGACCAGGGCCCTTGAGTCCATCCTTCAGATTCCCAGCAGGTAGAGCAGTGACAAGTGCTGGTTTGCGCTCAGTATATTCATCTGTGTTAGAGGCTGGGCTGACTGAGGCACCCCAGGCCTGCTCAATTGGCCAGAAGCACAAAAGACCATGAAAAAGTTAATTAACTTCAATGTAATTTACCCAGATTAATTATATCTATTATTAACCTCTTCTTGTCTGAGCACTGACGAGACTGATTTGTATTTTCTCACCTTCAATGTATCACTTTTATTTCCAGAAGTCAGAAAGAAGAACCAAAGAAATGGGAGACACAGATGACGCATGGGACATTATAATTCTGGGGGTGGCCAGATCCATAATTCCTGCCGAAATAATGCCGTAGGAATGCCCTTTGAAAGTGATAAGTGGAGATGTTATATGTTTTAGTGGTTACTACTGCAACAGCATGCAAGACCTATTATAAAAATTTAATTTTCATTTTGAACCTCATTATTTGTCTTTTTTCCCCTTCAGCATGGTAAATTAAAAGAGATGGTGATATTTATAAATGTTTAACCATTCTCCCTCACAGTACATCTAGACCATGTTTTAACTGAACTGCCCTTTGGAGCCCCACCAAAATCCAGAGCTACAATTAGCCTGCCTGGGGCTCTACAAGGCAGTCAGGTTGTTTGCTGATAAGACACAACTGTGTCTATCCTGGCATTAAAGAGGTTCAGATTACAGACACCTGGGGAAGGATATACCCTAGTGCAACATGGATTGTGTTTTCCTCTTGCAAGATTCTGGAGCAGATTCTGGCACAACTACTTCATAACTGCCCTAGAGAATAGGTTACCTAGCTAACACGGGTCATGAAGTCACTTCCCATTAGAGATAATTACAAACACAACTACAAACTGTTGGCAGTAGTTTGCTACCCCACTCAACACCCTTCAGGGATATTTGCCAAGGTTTTCTTGACACTCATTTGTAATTTTCTTCATAATGTGAGATTAAAACATAAATGAAAATGTCTCAAAATAGAAGAGATAACTTGTGAAGTTATTTTGAAATTGGATAACGGGTGAATGGTTAGGTTCCCTTACAAGTCACTAACGATTTATTCTCATCTGCTGAGAAGCATGAGTTATCACAGAAAAAAATGACCTTGGAATAATTCAAATGTTGAATGCTAAATGTTAAATGCCCAGTGTGAACAGGATTTCCTGCTACCTGAAGTAGAACATTCCTTTGAAACTTACCCTAAGCTGAAATGGCATAAGGTGAATGAGCAATTGCTATTAATTTTGAGGATTCCCAGTCTCCCAAAAATAATCTACCAAATAATAGGAAATAACGCATAAAATCTAAAACAACACCAACATATAATATAAAGCAGGAAATATCTGATAAAACATGGCCTATATAAGGAAGAAATAATGTTTGTAAAGTGTAGTTTCACTTACCAAATACAAGAAGCAATGAAGACTCTAGAAGCAGGCGAAGTGGGGGTGGTGGTGAGTAGAATCAGTAGTTTGAAGTTGGGTTGCCCGAAGTACAGGAGTCTGGGGTGCAGGGAAAGCAAGAAAGACATCTAGTGACATCTCAACATCCTCTGAATCCATCACAGCAGGTAGATCACAGCAGCTACATCTTATTTTATTTCTGCCTCCTACATGTTGCTTTTGAAGGTCAAGGTTTGCCCTCTGCTGTGGCTGGGAGGAAGACTTGACATATGGCACTTTGCTTGTCTGCAAAGCCCCACACATTTTTCTAACACACAATTTTTTCTAGGCACACAAAGAGCTCAAAAGCTAGATGCCTTTTCAAGTGAAAGTCATACTTTTCCTGCAATCATTGCAGCACGGTTAAACGAAGCAAACATCTCGAGCAAGTGCTTCGTGCATAGTTCCTGGACAACTTTACTTACTTCATGAGCTCTCCTCGGCTTTTGTGATACCTTGGGACACAATCTTGCTAATGAAACACAAAATAAATCAAGATAAGGGGAGGGGGGATACTCACAGACACGTCTCAAAGCTGTGGTGGCTTGATGCCGAGATGCTCCTGGTGGTTCCGGGAGGAAGCTTGAGGGCCCTGTCCTCTCGCTGCAGTTACAGGTGTGCACAGCTGTTGTTGCAAAACTCATACAGGCGCAGGTATGATTTGCTTTCCGCCTTTGTCGTAAGCAAACTTTCTCTTTGGCTCTGTAAAGGGCAGGAATTGGCCACAGTGCGGGTTTTCTGATCCAGCAGACCGGGTAAAGGAGGAGTCAGAGTCCTCAGTGGTTTTTTGCAGGTCTTTTATTGGGGTTCACCAGGCATGAGGCTGGCAGGCCTCTCAGCCCCCAGCAAATCCTCACTCTCTCTGGGCTCTCTGGCGTTCTCTGCTTCTTTCTATGGCTCTGCTCCTCTCTCAGCTTCTCTTTCGGCTTCTGCTGCTGCTTCTATTGGCGTCCCCGTGACGCCGCCCTTAAAAGCACAGTCTTAGCCCAGGTGTACCCACTCCAGGTGCCCGCCATCAGACATGCATTCAGGATCACAGGGTTCCCTCATCTATTCTGATGGCGGGAGGGCAGAAAAGCCTGATATTTTTCCTTACCCTACAGGCTCTCAGAAAACCGGTACAAATTGCAGGTCTTTCATAAAAGTGAAGTGACACCATGTAGGGTAAATGGTTTGGTAAATGTTTTTCAGCCTTTTCTGCCCTCCCACCTTTAGGATTGCCCTGCCTGATGGGGCACCTGCAGTTGTTACATTATTGCATATTGTCTCCTTTATTTCTGTGGGTCAGTGGAGAGTATTGAGAGATAGTCACCAAGAGAAGCAGAAGCAGGAGAAGAAGCAGGAGAGAGAAGGGGACAAAGAAACAGAGAGAAGCCCAAAGTGAAGACTGGCTGGGGGCTTAGAGGCATGCTGGCCTCCAGGACCCAGGCACCCCTGCCTGCTGTGTACCTGGTCACTGCTCTGTATGTAACAGCTCAATAAAAGCCTGAAAAACCCACTGAGGGCTCCAGGACTCCCCTTTACCCGCCTGTCTGCTTGGAGCCTAGAAACCTGCTCTGTCCCTGTCCTGCCACTACACACCAAGACAGCTTTCCAAAAACAGGGGCTACCTGTGTGCAGAACATGCTTAATCCAGTTAACTCTCTTCGTTCCTTCTTACTTTAAATTGCAACAATGCAGTTTTTTTGATGAGTGGCCCTTTTAGGAAGTTCCAATTAAAATGAGACCAAATTTATCCTTTACCATACTGTTGATTAAGACTTTAAGCAGTGAATTTAATGGAGTTCATATCCATGTTGATTCTCAATGACAGACACCTGAAACTGTGAAACTGAACTGTTACTTTAATGCAAAAAAAAAAAAAAAAAAAAAATCCCAGAACGCACACACACTGACGTGGAAAATAATAGTTTATTTGAAATAATCACAAATTCTAGAAACTAAAATGAGATCAACATAGATACTCATTACTGCTATGATTATAAAGCTGATACCAAATAAACCTTTTAATTAATAAATCAGTGTTCTCAATTGTCCAGTATTTACATGACTGACTTGACCAACCCCAAAATAAAGTTAAGGGTATGTTTTTGCCAAATTCTCTCTCTCACTCTCTCTCTCTCTCTCGTCTATATATAAAATACACACACATTTATAACTTATTTGACTATCATTTGCTTTATAACAAGATAGTGAGGCCTATATTAAGGCTTCTACTCATTAAGTTAATTTCCGCACAAAGAATCTGGTAAGGGAAAGGCATTTTCTGCCAACTTTTATCTCTTTTTGTCCAGATGGTCAAATTGGTTCTAAAAAGGTATGTTATTTGGAGTGGGAATGATAAACACCTGGAACACATTATCCTAAAAAAAAAAAATTAAAAAGGAAGTTTACATGTCACATCAGGAAAAACTGTATCTGACTAAATTAAACTAAAATAACTTACCCAAAATGCCCTATTTTCATACTAATATTTAATATAAGAAAATAAGAGCTTTGAAATTTCAGACAAATGTAAAATGGTTTATGTCACAGATTTATACTTTTGCAGCTCTTTGAGGATCATATTGTCACTTCCATGGTTCTGTTTTTACTTGTTCCTCCCCAAACACAAGCTAAATTAGTTTTAAAGTTTAAGGTATATTGTTCATAAATTTTTTGCTTTTTATTGTAATAATTTTGAAATGACATTTTGCTGCAACTTCTGCTAAATCTTGTAGCAGATTTATAGTGTCTAATTATTGCTTCTCTTTCACTCTGATACTAACACAGTTTGTCCCGAAGGGACTAAAAAACAATATTTAACAACCTACTCTTGTATGTAGGACATCTTAAATTCTACATTATCAATGTTTTAAATGTTAAACTTTAAATATAAGGTACTTTTAAAAAAAAGAGATTTATTTATCTATACAAGCACTGGGTACAGATAGAAGTACGGGAGGGTGAGAGAATTCACCAGAGCCAGAGCAGGGAACAGAATAGGCAGACTGACTGACGAAGAAATACACTGCTGAGGGGAGCAGCGGACGGGCAGGAGAGGTCTGCGTGCCATGTGGAACCCTCGCCAGCGGCGGGGGATGGAACCGGCGCTGCAGAGGCTGCAGGCAGCTTCTCAGCCCAGCGCTCAACCGCTGCGCCACCAGGGGAGGCCCAGAATGTACATTTTAAGAAAGAACACTTATGAAAGATAAAAAGCAAGTTAATTTGAAGTGCATTGAGTTGACACTCTGCAAATTTAAAACTTAATTTCTATATTGAAGTCTGATCAGAGGGCACCTGATTTCTCTCGAATAGTTTCCTAACAATGAAGATAAGGATAACAATATCTATAGTCCCATCTTAAAAATATGATAGATTTAAAAATAATGATTAGTATATTGATTTCATTGTTCTTTCTACTATTAATAATAACTATTATACAGTGCTAACTGCATGTAGAGGCAGGGAAGGCCACTGAGCAGGTTATCTATGATCTGGCAGACTGGTAAAGGAGAGTCCTGGGGCCCTTGGTGGCTTTCTCAGGCTTTTAATGAGCTGTTACATGTAGAGCAGCGACCAGGTACACAGCAGGCAGGGGTGCCAGGGGGCAGGGGGGGAGGGGTCAGGAGGCCAACAGGTCCTCCAAGCCCCAGCAAGTCTTCACTCTGGCCTTCTTTCTCCCCTTTTCTCTCCTGCTTCTCCCCTACTTCTGCTTCTTTTGGTGACTCTCTCAATACTTCTCCCATGGCCCACAGAAGTAAATAAGTCAGTTAACAACAATGTAACAACTGCAGGTGCCCCATCAGGCAGGACAATCCTAATGGTGGGAGGGCAGAAAAGCCTGAAAAATCATTTACCCTACACTGCACAACACTATTGTAAGGACTTTTACGTGAAGTAGGCTTGTAATCCTCTGGCGCAATCTGCCGTACCTATTTTACTGAGGAAAAACTTAAACCACAGAGATGTTAAGTAACTCCTCCAAAATCATACAGCCTGCAATGCAAGTAACATGATTGTTGGGTTAGAGTAGCCATGGTTTATAACATTCTACTTCCCCTCTTTTATATGTTATTATTATTTTAAATAATAACAGTTATAATAATATAGTACAATATAATAATAGCAGTTATTTTTATTTTTTAAAACCTAGATTTTTGAGTAGGATTCTCAACAAAGAACCATCATAGATTTACAAAGTAAATCCTAATATTATTATCATTCTATGGCTAAAGAAAGAGCTATAGCAAAGTTAATAGCTCGCCCAATGACACAAAGCAATACCAGTATGAGAATAGGAATTCTGACTCCAGAAGCTGCAGTTCCTGTTCTACCATGCAAATACATTTCATAAATCAACTAAATTAATTTATAAGTGCTCTGCTTCATTTTAGATGGATATGAGATGCTTTCCAAATATGTTATGGGTTTGTGTGGTCTGTAAGAATAGGCACTGGATTGTATAGTTGTCGTTTTAAATGCCAAAGTAAATAGCAGTGAAATAACTAGCAAAAATAGAAAACATGGTTAAGGTTATGGCTCTATCACTGTTGAATTTCACATGCCTTTAAAGTTTATGATACCTGAATATCAAGCACTGCACACGTTACTCCAGCTCACTGTATCATTTGCCAGAACTTCTCATCCCAATTTGACTGTGAAGGAAAAAAATAGGAAAATGCCTCATGAAAAGAAGGAAAGGAGAACTAAGAAATGGTGAGTACTAGTGATTTCTATTATATTAAACTTTGCCACTAATAGCATAAATGTACATTTCTCCCCATTTATAGATTAAATGTTTTTAGCATGTATGGTACATGCAGTAAATGCACAAATACTAGTTCATGTTAGTCTTGAAAAGTACCAATTCAAAAATGAAGAAATACTTATGACAGATAGCTTGGGTTTGGATTTGATCTTTTCATTTTTTAAGATGATTTTCTATGGCATGTCACTATAAGTAATGCTACTCATTGAATTTACTTTGTATTTCCTGTTTCAGACACTACGCATTAATTAATTTTTATTCACAATGATCTTATGATGTAGCATCTTTTATTGTTCCCAATTAGTATATGAAGATATTATAAATTGGATAATGTGTTTGACTGAGTGTTAATAATGTTTTAAAGAGAAGCTAATTTTATCAGCATATCTTGAAACCTTCAGCAAGATCTCTTGCAAACCTATTTTAAAGACTTAGAAAAAATAACATTTAATGGACTCCTGTTATGAGACTCACACAAAGCACCTGTCTTAAATATCTACTTCATATAACATCATTTCAGTCTGCCAGGGTAAGTACATTAAGCTACTTGATTGATGAGAAAGGTAAGAAGTATAGACTTCAAATCCAGCTATGTGTGACTTAGGTGTTTAAAGAGTGATAGGGTGATTGATCATTAAAAATACATTAAAATAATTTCCCCATGGATGTATTTGAAAGAGTTAAGTGTGGGAGTGAAAGGGTGAACAGACTGATATTTTTTTCATTTTCTAAACTTATGATTTTTTATTGTCATTTTAAATCATGTTTCACAATATTTTGTATTAGTTTTACTTGGTAAGTTTTTTTTTTTTTTTAAATTGAGGTATTTAGTAACTAAGTAAAAGAGACATTAGGTAATACCAAAAAATGGCAGAAACTTATATACAATTAGGGAAAGAAAATAGTGATTATTCCAAAAGACTATTCCAAATCGACTTACTCCAGGAGCTGTGACATACGTATTGTACAGCTAATAATAAAGATGTTCTCTTTAAAGAGCTATTGATTCAACTATTGAAAATAGCTTTATAAAGTCAAATTACAAGTCAAGAATATTTTTAACACATAGAAGTAAAAAAGATATTATTCTATATTAAAATGTACAGTAAGATGAATGAAAATATTTTTATATGCTATTACTCTCAATATCAGCTATTTGCTTTAAAGTAATGTTGAAAAGAATAAACTACAGGGATCTCATTAGAATTTATTATATATTTGTACCATTGTATATATTCTAGATTTCTGTGTTTATTTTCACTGCATATGAGAAATCGATGATATGATCCAATATATTTCATTCATCATGTAGAAGAGTGTCAGTATTTGGGTTGCTTTAGCTAGTCCCCGTTCTTATTACCTCCCCCCACCTAACAGGGTTGTCACAAAGTAGACTAAGTTTTTTTTTTTTTAATAAATCGTCATTTCTTTGTTTTAAAAAAGATTTATAAATTTATACAAGAACTGGGGTACAGGCCAGAGGCATGGGAGGGTGAGATAATTCACCAGAGACAGAGCAGGGAGCAGAATAGGCAGACGGACCAAAGAGACTACTGAGGAGAGCAGCTGGTGAGGCAGGAGTGGTCTGCCACACCATGTGGATCTCTCCCTGGCTGTCTGGGATTCGAACCCACGCTGCAGAGGCTGCAGACAGCTTCAAAGTGCAGTGCTCAACCCTCTGCACCACTGGGGAGGCCCAGAGTAGACTAAGTATTGAATCCTGTATTACATACCATACAGCATACAACCAAGGTGTCATTCATTTTAGCTCCCCCCCGCAAATAAAAGGTAATCAAGATATTTGTTTCAAAACAAATATTTATGAAACTTTCTAAATTCATTCTAAATAAACTATGACTAGTGTATATGTGGATCAATGTTTATATTGAGTTACTTTTCATATCTTCTTATTATAAAATGAAAATTTATAAAATATATTTATACAGAGAGTACTCAATACCTATTTTACAGTTAATTAGGTAATTCTAAAGAATTTGATGTTTTGTCTTGATTGATTTTATTCTATTTAAAGAATGTCAGAAATAAAAGGTTTGCCTTAGGCCACATGTTCTTTTGATCAAATTAAAATGGTTTGTTTTTAATTTAGCTTGTTCCCCCCTATATAGCATATCCAAATTATCATGCTAGATAAACACAAAAAAAGGCATTAATAAATTTCCTTATCATATTTTTGACATGCTAGGGACATTGACTATTTTACTGGTGTGCTTCTACTCTTTTTCTATGAAGAGTTTATACTTTATTTTGTTGTGATTCAGAATGTCCTGTTGCTTTTAACTTGTATATTTACTCCCTATAATAACTCAGGAGAAACAAGGTTTAAAATACAACCCAACCCGTAGTATAAATTAACGCCTATGATTCTGAATTCAACTTAAGGAAGAACAACATGTTGGGGTAGTTTGATTCTTTTTAACAAAAGTGCTCCTCTAAAAATTGGAGTTTGTATCAAGGATTCTTTTATAGATTTCAAAGCACATCACCTTTAATTCAGGTTAAATGTAGGAGACAGTCTTGATATATTTCTTCCAATGGTGAATGCAATTACATTATGTTAAGGGTTATTAGGAAATAAGTTGATTATCCTCCACACTAGAATATTAACTTCATAGTAGTTTTGTTCATCAATGAAACTATAATGCCTAAAGTAGTGTCGGGTATAGTAGGCGCTCAATATTTATACTTTGAAATAAATAATTGCATTAACTCAAAATATTAAAAATTGTGATAAAGATATATATTATGAGTATATTTTATACACATACAAGCAGTTATACACACATACTTCATATGTCTAATTTTTAATAACATAGTTTTTACTTTTTATTTTCTATTGAATTGGTTGTTTCCCTAGAACTCTGAAACATGATACTTATTTAAAAATTAGCTTAATTTTCAAACCCACTAAATTTATTACTTTAATTTACTAAACCTCTAATATATAATTTGTTTTTTGTCCTATTTTCCAACCAATCCACTTTACATTTTGTGATTCTTGTACATTTACTAAGCAGCTGAGGTTATTCCATCACTCTAGAAATGCTGTTGCTATAGAAATTTAGCTAAATATTTTAGCAATGATACCATTGAGTTTAAATATATCACCCTCAACAAAGAAAATTATCTACTTTGCAATATAATGACAAAAGAAAAACATGAAAACCATCCTGCAAAAAGTCCCTTTTAACATATCTGGGAAACAGTATCCAAATGCCAGAGCCCTGACTTTAAAATTCAAAATTTTCAAAACATTACCTAGCTAGTTTGTGATGTACTCCTTAAAATTTGAAGGCATTTCAATAGAATAAGAACTCTTCACATTGCTACTGATAACTTAGAAAAGCATTAAGGAGCCATTTGATTTGGTTACAAGATCTTTTATTTTGTAAACTATACATAAACAGTAAAAAAGAAAATGCATTATACTTTAAATATTACATAAAGTCAACAGTCAAGATTCTTTTTTTAGTGTATACAAATAAAATGGAAAGTAATCCACCAATTTTACTTTCAATGAATTGTATATTGGGAATCCAGTTGACCCACTGTATAAACTAAGATACCAATATGTAACATTCAACAGTTTTTTCCATTTTTATTATGGGCACAAAACCATAGGTCTGATATACTTAAAATGATGATGTGCCAAAAAGCTACTCAAGTAATTAACATGCCAACTTAAGTACAGCAATTAAAATAATTTTTGTTACAGTTAAATTTTTAATGCTACTCTACACAATAATCATAAACAAGTCCACATGGCAATTATGTAACAATAGAAAAAAAATAAACATATTCCATTTTCTTCATTCCAGCAGCAGTACCTTTACTGGCATTAATTTGTTAATTAGGTGTGCTTATATATTGCCTAATATCCTATATTGGTATGCATGCTAAACCTTTCTATTTCTATTTTGCAAGGCACCATACAATACGTTCTCTAAGTTTTGACACTAGTAACAAAAATGGTATAATTCTAATATTAAATGCAATTTTTTATCTAAAATATAAAATTAAATATGATTTTAAAATTTAACATTGGGGCACATGACAAACTTTTCCTGAAAATATGATTTAAATGAGTCTTTCCCTTTGTTTTCCTACTTTAAATTCTGTACCCAAAGTTGCTGGTCAGAAAGATAAACCTAGGAAGGTAAAGAAATCATGCTGTTTAAGAATAAAACAAAATCTACATGAGACCACCATCCAAATTAAAATAAAAATTAGAAAGGACAACTAAGTTTTTAATTTTCAGAATCCATGGTTTTCCATATTGGCCATTTTGTAGAATATCCTATCATATCCAGAATAATCTCATATTAAGAACCTCACTACCAATGTAAACACGATGGAGGACTCTACAATTGTCACTTTGTTTTCCTTACCCGTGGTATCCCTCACTCACCTTGAACTCAGTCTAGGTTTGGGGCGATATGACTTTAGAATTGTAATTAAGATCATGCATAATTTTGTAAAATCCTTGGGGCCCACCAGGTCACGAAGAAGTTACAAATTTAACATAGACTATATCACAGAAAAATAACATATATGATCTCAAGCACTGGTTGTTTTGTTTGTGGAATATTAATGTCAGTTTGTTCTTACGAAAATCTGTTTAGTTCCATAGCTCTTCATAACTTTCTTTAATCTGGCTAGACTCCATATATGTTTTCTGTTTCCATAAGGCATATAAAAACTCAAAGTAAATGATTGTTATTTAAACATAAAGTTCTATGACTTTAGCTGCAATATTTGTATTAATTATACAAAATATATGTGAATTTTAGAATCATTTTGTATTTGGACCAGAAGGTAATTTTTAATAGGCTATTACTTTGTAAATGATAGAAATGTAGAATTTATTGATCTCAGCTCTCATCAATCAAATGTATCCATCGTGGTCATCACCATCATCATCATCATCCCCTTCATCTTCATCATCATCATCTTCAATTTCATCTTCATCATTCATAATATCCTCTTCATTATCCTCATCATCAGTCCATTCATGGAAATCCCCACTGGCGAAATCTCCAGAGATCTCAAAATCAATAGCTTGGATAAAAAAATAAATATTAATGTTACCTGATGAAGCAGTAGGATAATTTCTGAAGGAACTAAAATTCTGATGAATATTGATAAATTTAGTAAAATTTAGTTGGCCTTTATTTTATTTACCAACATGAAGACAAATCCATTTTCTATCATTTGTTGATATTTATGTGCTAGAAAACAGACTCATAACTAAGATTTGATATACTAGATTTCTATTTAGTAATATTAATTTTAGACCTTTTTAAATAGAAGTCCATATCAAACTTAGAATTCTACAAAGCACTTAAAAATTTCTTCTACTATTTTTGTAGGCAAAACAATTGTTCTCCAAAGATTGCCACTTCCTAATCAATGAAACTTGTGAATATGTAACCTTGCAAGGTAAAAATGACTTTGTAGAAATAATTAAGTGAAGGACTTTGTAATGAGGAGATTATCCTGGTTTATATGGGTAACCCCAGATGAACACCTGGATCCTTATAATCAAAGAAACATTCATTATAAATTCAGAAGGAAGTGAGACCACAGAAGAATGGTTAGAGAGATGCAGTGTTTCGAACTTCAAAGTTTGAGTAGGAGTCTATGGTCAAGGAGGGTGTGTGTGTGTGTGTGTGTGTGTGTGTGTGTGTGTGTGTGTGTGTAGCTAGGTGGCATCTGTAGTGAAAATCTCCACAGTACAAACAAAAAAATTAAGCTTGCATTCTGAAATATTATTTTATGAAACAAACAGATGCTATATTTGGAACTTTAAATTGCATGTATATGCTGTTCAAATTTATTGTCATATTTTAAGATATATATGTAAGCTTATAAAACAATTTAGAATATTAATTATAATTATCTTTCAAATAAACTATATTTTCACTCTTTTAAAATAAATGTAACATGCTAACTTAGTTGTAATTTATAAAACCTTCACTTTATTTTTAATATTTATATATATTTTATGAACCTTCATTTTATTTTTTATTATATATGTATTATATTAACCTTCACTTTAAAAAGTTTAGTTTTCCTTTGGGAGGCAAGACTATAGATCCCCTAAGTCAATAATCTAAAGGTGTCACACATTTCCATATTGGGAGAGGGCACACACTAGGAATAGAATGGATGACAAAGGTCTGCCTTAACTCAGAGGAAAACAGGAGGCATAGACCATCCTCTCTAGATCTGAAGTAAGAATTACGTTTATATGAACTTTTATTATGAGTGAATCTTTCATCACCCCCTAGTGCATTCTCAGCCACAGAGTAGTCCTCATCAGTGCTTGAACAAATGATTGAGATGCCTAAGTACTCAAAACCATGCCTGAGAAATAACTCTTCTCCTTACCACAGTCTGCAACACCATTTGTTCTGGATCCCATGACTTCATTTCCATATCTGTCAACGCACCAGCACTGCCCAACACTGCCATGGCATTGTGTTGGCTTGTAGTAACCATCTTCATCACAGAGGGGGATGTACTGTCCTGTGAGATGAAACACACACACAATAATTTGTGCGCCTTTTTTGATGGCCATAAAATTTGTATTAATTCACTCAAAGTACTTGCATGTGCAGTGCCCAGTCCAGGCTAAGTACTAGTGGTGCACATAGTACAGAGCAGGTAAATCAAAGCTATCACAGTTGGATATTGTCATATTCGTCTGCTTACATTTCTTTTGATAAGCAAAGTTACTGTCTTTTTATTTCTCACTCAGCACAGGGCACCATTTCTGAGGCATGATAGACTAAGAATCTGATTCATGTCATACATTTCAGCTCCTGCAGACCACAAAACCTAGCACATCAGATCCTCCGCTGTCTCTTCATTTCCAACCTTCTATTTTCATTTCCTAAAATTTCAGTTCACATATTCCAGTCTTCTTCCACATCAAGTTAACTGTTTCTCCTAGATGAAATGCTGCTTCATCTCCTTGCAGATCTTTTATATCATGGAATTCCTTTTCCTTTTTAAGACTTGATTTTACTGTGACTTTTTAATATAAGACCTATTCATGATGATGGTCCTCCCCTGGTGGTTGAGCGCTGGGTTGCGAGGCTGCCTGCAGCCTCTGCAGCACCAGTTCGATCCCCAGCCACAGGAACGGGTCCCACAAAAAAAAAAAAAAAAAAAAAAAAAGAAGACCTATTCATGATGGAAGAACTCTGATATACTTCTGCCAGTATGTATTTGTGTGTCTATGTGTGATGTGGAGTTGTGTGTATGTTTGTGTGTAGTCTGTCTTGAATCAAATTCCCAGTCCAGTGGATGAGAGATATTTTTATATCTATAATAATTTACATATTACTTGGCTCAATGCTAATAATAGCTGAATTCACATTCTTCAGTAAATAGTGAATTCACATTCTTCAGTAAAAATTCTAACACTAGAATGAAAGCTCTATGGAAATCAGAAAAAATTTACTTGTTTGACTTTTTTTTTTCAGTGACCAGATGCTATAGCTATTTGGTGGGGGAAAAAAAAAGACTGAATAGTGAATAAATAGAATGAGACTCTTTCACCTAATATTATAACAATATAAGGTCATAATGTTATTCCTTTAAAAGTTTCAGTATTCTTATATATATGCAGTTTAGTTTAAAAATTACAATTTGTTTGTAATATTTGGACAAGTTGTTTTTCGGTGAGGTAAACAGAATAGCACCCATAAGAAAAACTCAAGAGCATCTTCATATTTAAGGCTAGCAAAATAAGGACAATATTCAATTTTTCTTATCACTACCTCTTAAAACATCTACCTTGATATGGAACCTTTGACATAACATTTTATAATGTAAAGTTAGTGTGATCATTTAATACATCCTTCATGCAAGTGCAATTTGAAAGCAAAAGGACATTATTAAAAATTATGCTAGAACCGAAGACATTACCCAGACTGAACCTACAAACTGGGACTTAGGACATCAGACTCCTATATAACAAGTGGGAGATTTTCAGGTAAGTGTCCTCTGATCCAAGTAGAGGAATTATTTATAGCACTCAGAACTGTCTCATGATGACTTTATATAAGAATGATGACTTTATGTAAGAATAATAAAAGTGACTCCTTCTAAATGGACACTAAATATGTTTTCAATTTTTGTGAGCTCACATAAATGCAGCTTGAATTTTAGTAGGTCTCTGTAACTACTAACAGTGGCCATAGACCTTGAGGTCATTGGTGTTGGGTGTGGTGAGGTGATGAGCATCTGGTAAGGTGTGGTCCTATGCCTCTGAATCACATACATTGTTGTACATCGATATTACCTCAAGAAAAAAGCAATAAAGGTAAATATATATTTCAATTAAATCTTACTTTTTCCATTTTCTAGGGTTAAACTTTGATTTGTGGAAACAAATCCATGCATGGATATATTATTTCCACTTGTGAGATGCAATATGGTATGCATCTTGAAAAAAGAGTTAAGAGAAATTAAACACATTGTAGCTTTTGTCTTTATGCTTCACTCTAAACAATGATTTATAAAAATTATCCTTTTAATTTTGAACTATGGATTTTGAATGTGAAAAATTTTCTCATCTGACATGCAATATTGTAATTGTAAAGATAACATATGAAGGTGTAAAACACAGTAAAAAAATCCAGAAATATCATAAAATTATGTGCCTTGAGGGGCCTCCCTGGTGGTGCAAGGGGTTAAGAACCAACCTATGAAGCTATCCATAGCCATTGCAGCATGAGTTTGATCCCTGGCCAGGGAGCAACCCACATGGCGCAGCAGACCTCTCCTGATTCGCCTGCTGCTCCCCTCAGCAGTGCATTTCAGTAGAGCTGCCTGTTTTGTTCCCTACTTTGTCTTTGGTGAATCCTCTCACCCCCCCCCCACAACTCTGGCCTGTACCCCAGTTCTTGTATGTATAAATAAATAAATCTTTAAAAAATGTGCCTTGAAATATATAAGGGCATTAATATATATGAATAAAACATTGTATATATGTGATATACTGCATTGAACCCTAAAATAAGTAAGGACCCAGGTGGAAAGACTAGTGAAATCTAAAGAAAGTCTGAAACTTAATTCATAGTTTATAACAGTGTAAATACTTTTGATTTAACAAATATAAATGGTATTTGAATCGTGTATAATGTAAACTTTAGGGGAGGCTGGGTAAAGGATATATGGAAACTATATTTGTAAATTTTTTTAAATTGAAAATTATTCCAAATAGCTCACCTACAAATTGCGTTTATAAGAATAGACAAAATAGCATCCATAATACTTAAATTATTTATTGATAGCTAAACATTCTAATATTTCAAAATATGGGGTAAAATCTGAAACTGTCTATGTGTCATCTCTCTAGCTAATAGATTGATTGCTTATGTCAAACACTAAACTGTTTAAACAGTTTCCCTGAGGAAGTGGTCTCTCTCACTGTTTACACACACACACACACACACACACACACACACACATACATATATCTATATATGTACTACACTTGATTTAGCCAGAAGGCTGAGAAGCGATACATATGTATATATGTACACAAACATATAATCAATTCATGAATTGTTAATCATAGATTTGGAACTGAATTTCTGCTGATGCCTTAACTTTAGTATTGTTGAAATCTCTTTTTTACTTAACTTTCAAGATGAACATTATATTAGGGTAATAAAATAGACATAATATCTTTCAATAGGTAAGATAATAAAAGTAAGTTTAACGGCTTTCAAAAACTTCATAAATTTTGTTGCTGAAATTTAGTGTAGTCTATCTTTGTTGGATTAATATTGATTTTATGTTGCTGTTTCCCTGGGGTTATTTATGTAAGCAATAAAGGCTTCAGAAGAATGATCTATTACTCACCTAGGAGCTTCTTCACCCCTTGCCGCTTGTGAATATTGCTGAGCTCCGTCTGGCAAGGTGGGTCTGCAATGACATTAAAATGTTACTACAAGGATTATAGTTAAACGAAGAGAGTATAATGTCTATGCTACTGAATTTTACATGACTTTAGAAGAGACATAAAACATATTAGGTGGTTTATTTATGGAGATACATGCATATAATAAAGGAATACTTTCCTAAGTGTTAATGATAAATTATCATGATTTTCCTCAAAATAAACTGGATGAAAAAAAGAGAATGGTATAAAATCCTTATAGGATGGAAAAATACTTCTTATCATTCAATTTTCAGAGGTCAATCAATTCAGCAATGTAAATGTGCCCAAGCAATAAACTGATTGTTTTTCTTCATTTAAAAGTTTCTATGATAGAGAAGTAGCTTGCATTAAAAAGTAATTATGAAAAATTTAATGTTTTTTCCCCACTTTATGCTATAAATTTTTATGATGAATAATGTTGACAGACTTTAGGCTTTATAGTTTCACCCAAATTATAGTTTCACCAAATAAGTATATATGTATATATATATGTGTATATATATATACTTATATATATATACTTATATATAAAAAACTTGAAAATAGTTTATATATATATATATAACTTGAAAATAGGACCATATACATTATAATTTCTGATAAAACATCTTAAAAATAAATTAAAAACATTAAACCAATTGAAATAAGTATTTGTTTTTCAATTAGCTTAAAGGAGAACATTTTAGAATTGTACAATTCTAAAGGGACATAATATAGTTTGGCTTATATTACTACTATATATTCTTATATATTATATATACATATTTATAAATAATTTGTATTCTTATTTGGAAACTTTAATTTATTTTTATATTTTTTAATTTATTTTTAACTGAGGGTTTCATATATTTTAAAATCATATTCTAAATACTTGAATTAATATTTGCTATATAAATATATCATGAACTATTGAAACAGCAAAAAAAACAAACTAGTACCTATTTTTCTATACTACAACTTTTTTGGGAAAAGCAAGATATATTCAAATAATTTAAAGGTACTTAGTATAGCAATGCCATGATATTTAATAATCAAATTTTCATGTAAGTAAAAAAGTATAATGAGGAAATGAGGCAAACTGCTTAATATATTTATATTTATGTTTAGTGTGTAAGGTCTATTTTAGATTCCTTGAGATTTCCTGAGGAATCTAAAATGAGAAGAAAATGTGACTTGTTTGAAGAGCCTCAATAATTACTTTATTGTTCCACTTCATTTTGGTCCAATTAATCCCTTTATTTTTCCTAATAATCTTGGTAGCCTCTTATATTACATATTTAAAAAAATGAAATCAAGTGGCATAATATCAGCTTATAAAAGAGACATTTTAAAATCTGCTGGGCCCCAAATATGACACTGGAATCAATATGAAAGATTCTAGCTGAGTTTCAATGCAATAGCGAAGGCAATTCTTCCAATATGGTCATGAATGGAACACCTGAAAATCAAGGTACATTTAGTCTGAGTCTTGATTAGTATCCTCACTGAACATACCGTAAGTACCAATCCTACTAGCCCTGTATAGGGGAAGCTCTGTATATTTTAAGATTAAAAGGGGAATCATGAAAGATTAGGTTGTTAACACATACCATTTATTCCGAAATGTTTTTTGTATTATGTAAGGCAGCACTATGTGACCTTTACTTTAGGTATGTTTGGAGTGCTTAATTGAGATATCACCTATATTTTCAACTCACTTGCAAAGAGATGATCTAAGCGAAAGGTTGGGAACCCGATTATTACATGAAGGATTGAACATAATCAGACTATGAATAGTTAGCTGAGGATATAAACACAGATATGGCATCCCCTAATTTAATTTTGGGAGTGGGGCCTCCCTGGTGGCACAGGGGTTAAAGTCTCAACACTATCAAGCTATCGCCAGCCACTGTGGCATGAGTTTGATCCTTGGCCAGGGAGCTGACCCACATGGCACAGCAGACCTCTCCTGACTCACCTGCTACTCCCCTCAGCAGTATATTTCAGTAGATCAACCTGTCCTGCTCCCTACTCTGTCTCTGGTGAATCCTCTCACAGCCCCACACCTGTAGCCTATACCCAAGTTCTTGTATGCATAAATAATAAAAAAAATATTTAAAAAATAATGTTCTAACTTTTTGGAAAATATGGTTTTATGTTATTAAATTGTTTAAGAATCATGAATCACTAACAAATATAAAATTTAATATTTCACAGAATTTACAAGCAATTTTCCTAAACGTTAGAAAATCCAGCAAAAGAGAAGAATGAAAAATTTTTTACTAGTTAAATTAAAAAAAAATGTTATTTTTGAATATTATTGTTCACTGTTTCTCATTCTGGATTTAAAAATTCAAACTGCTATATTTGGGCTATTGACACATTTTAAATTGATGATTTTCAATACAATGATAATAATGCATTTTATTTTCCCCACACAATTTTGAATTGAATAAAACGTCATTGGGAAAAATATATAAATAAATACCTATAAGTTCACAATAGTTACATACATACAAATGTGCTTTTCCTATAGTCATACTATTCAATTATAGGGTATACATTTATTAGTCATCAAATATACATATAGGCAATATAGAGTCAAAACTACAAAAAAATTGGACATTATAGAAGCTTATGAATGAATCTCTAAGTTAGCAGCTCACGGGTGCCCACACTGTGGACTGCACAGCTCCTAAGGGACATCACCCTCCCCTCTTTTATGAAGGGTGCCCTGATCTTGTATAGCAGGGAAGTCCTCTTACTTTCTTGCAGTAAGCCACTCCCCTTATTTCCACTTCCTCTCAGTACTTATTAGTCATATAGTCATTTACAGAATGGACATACTTGAATATTTCTGCCAGGGAAAATTCTAATATAATACCAAAGAACAAAATTCTGTGTTTTTAATGCCTTTCAATACATAGGAGAAATCTCTTTTTTGTAATTAATACAGGTGACCCATACTTTGATACTCTTCTTGCAGATTAAATGTACAATTAATCTCTAAAAATGCCATCTATTTTTATTGTAGTCCTTAGGAAAAACTATTGGATATATTGTTGATTACATAACACTTGATGATGTTACCTGTACCTAATAGCATTAGTCAACAAGATGCACAGTGATGTCTCTTAGCATTTTATATTGAATTATCTTGCAAATTCTTTTTTTTTAAGATCTATTTTATTTATTTATGCATATAAGAGCTGGGATGTAGGCCGGAGGTGCTGGGGGTGGGCGGATTCACCAGAGACAAAGTGGGGAGCAGAACAGCTGAATTGACTGCTGAGGGGAGCAGCAGGCGAGACAGCAGAGGTCTGCTCACCATGTGGTCAGATGCAACTCCCTGGCCAGATGGAACTGCTGCAGTGGCTGTGGATAGCTTCATGTGCTGAGACTCAACCCCTTGCGCCATCAGGGAGGCCCTCCTGCATACTCTTAAAATAGAATTAAAACTACTTGGAGACAGAAATCAAGGATATTCATTTCAAATTCACTTCCTGTACTCATTTTGTAATGTGAAGTCTTGTAATGGGAGCAAAGTTTTCAAACAGGGTAATTTGAGTGATAAATGCTTTTAGGTATTTGATCTTCCTAGATGGGCATGAATAAATGTTAGTTTTCATTTTTTTTTCCTGTACTTACAAAACAGGACTTTAAATAAAATAGCAGCAAATAATTTATTTTTTAAAGTAGAGGCATAAAATACACTTTTATGAAAGTAAGTCATTAATACCTAAGATAAACGAAATCCCAGTGTAATATCCCTCCTACTCACATTTTTCATATTTACTTAAAATAATAGTTATACAAAGCACAATCATATTCATTTTGTATTGCTTAAATGTAATGATTTTAGAAAATTAGTCATAGAAAAAACTTTCATTTGCATTAAAATTCAGACACATTTTCCCTTGGGGTATTTTCCCTGTAAGTATTTTAATTGCCTAAAACTTTGTACTCTCAACTGCATTTTGAAATTAAATGAAATTAAACTTTTGAAATTAAAATTAATTTTACGTGTTTGAAAGATATTAAAGACATTATTTTTCAGATATTCCCAACATTGTAGTCTTGATTGCAACTTGATCAACCTGGATTAATAAATTAATAACTCCCCATTCTACACTACTTTCTTTCTCATCTTTCTATTTCCCTCGCTATAGTTACTCTAAGATAGTCCACATTACTTTAAACAAAGTGAAGACAAGATTTGGTGGTTTCTTTAGAGTAAACTAGGAGAAACAAAATTTTTTTAATTTGACTTTTAAAAAGTTGTCAATCTTTTTTATAAGTTAATGAATTAATTCAACAAGTCAGTTACTCTGTCTAAGCTTTACAATATTTTCTAACACATTAATATAAGGGCATGATTAGTCAAATTTGCTTATTATTTTGGATAGCTATATGAACCCTTTAGCATCTTAGATGTCATTTATAAAATTATTATACTATGCATTAAATTACATCAGAGACTAGCTTGTTGTGACTACAATGATCATAAGAATTTGCAAAAGTACAGTTAATATACATATATATTAACATATATATATGTAAAGATAAAACTTCTTTGGGAATCTTTCATCAATTCTACAAATATAACTGCAAAATCCAGTAATGTTTTAAGAAGAAGGTATTTTTGTAGGAGAAACATTTGGAAATATTCAGAATATTTTTAAATGTTCATGTATAAACAATCACATTATCATAACAAATCATAAAAATTAAAAAGACTCTTAGTTTAACATTTGACATTGAATTGTCATTAAAAAAGCATGTCTTCTAATGGTAATTTACTTTGATTTATGAATCTACATTTTACTTTCTAAATGATTTACATGTATACTAATCATTAAAAATAGGATGCAGCATTTTAGGAAATTATATAGAAAGCACATAGATATAGTAAAGTCAATTCTGTGTGTGTTATTTAAAATACTTTAATAGAGCAAATCTAATTATGAAACTTTGCTTAAAATGGTTTATAAACTGTAAGCTCTCCTACAGACCCTGCTATTCACTCACTGCTAATCAATTTCGGTAACCATTTCATCCCTAACTCTAAACCATTAGGAATACTTGAAAAAAATTCATTGAAATAGCAAAATTTCCTATGTAAAATGTTAGTTTTCCATATGAAAAACTGGGACTCATTTATATATTTTAATTAGCTTGTTTATTCTATTAATTATAAAGAATTTTAAAATGCAGTGACAAGATCAGTGTATCTCATTAGACTAGTCCCCGGTTTGTCTAAATTAGCATCAGGAATGCACATATCGGGTCTCCCTGGTGGTGCAAGGGTTAAGACACAACCTATGAAGCCATCCGCAGCCACTGCAGCACAAGTTCGATTCCCAGCCAACCAGGGAGCAGCCCACATGGCGCAGCAGACCTCTCCTGACTCGCCTGCTGCTCCCCTCAACAGTGTACTTCGGTCAGTCTGCCTCTTCTGTTCCCCACTCTGTCTCTGGTGAATCCTCTCACCCCCGACACCTCTGGCCTGTACCCCAGCTTTTGTAAGCATAAATAAATAAATCTTTTGAAAAATGCACATATCATTGCTTCTTTGGCATCTCCAAACTTTCTCAGAATGTGCTTTTGGATCTATTTCCTTTTTGCACTTAATTTTAACTATCATTCGTCTGATCATGTGAGCATGACTTCAATTTTACTGTAGGCTCACTTTTCCTAATACAGAAGGATCATAAAGAATTCACATCATGCCAACTCTTCAGATTGGTTCCCCTCTCCCACAGAAGAATCAAGATACTTTCCTTCTAGTGAATATGTATAAATCTAAGTTTATCTTGAAAAGCTTGAAAGACTTAAGTCATTTCAAATCAAATGAATGAAAAATAACTTTCTGGTGAATGCTGTGTGGCTCATTCAGCTCATTTAAGAAGAGCAGAAATTAGAACATTAAAATCCCACAGTACAGTGATAAAAAACCCATTTATTTTGCTCCGTGGGCAAAGCAGATAGCAAATTAATTTTAATGATTCCTTTTAATATCTATGTTCTCATATCTCTATGTGCTTCTTGGTGGTTCATAATGGAAAGTATAATGAAGCACATTAATATAAAATATTAATTACTATTTTTCATCTTGTTTAGCATGTTTTGCATCTCTAGCAAAGTTATTTTGTTCAACATGCTGCTTATTTGCTTTTTTATTAAACACTTTAATTAGGAAAATATCTATCAAAATGGCTGGGGTATAGTGCACTGTTATTTTTTTTTTAGCATGAAGGCATAGAAGAAATTTGACATGCAGGTCAACTATCTGCACTGGTAGATGTCTCATCTTTTACCTTGCTGCCTCTGGAAGCAATAGCACCATTCATTGTTTGATATCAAACTGTCCTTGTATGTGTCACAAGAATTGAAGAATGCCTGGGTGCACTGTTCATTCTTATCAAGGTAAATGCTTCCCAGCTCTGATTGGTCCAGTAGCAGATCATAGTTTGTATCAAGTCTGTTAAACATCCAGCCAAGTGAATCCTTGCAGATTGGCAAAATACTGGTATCGAATCCTAAAGACAAAGACAGAAAATGATTAGTTAAATATGGAAGTTGTCATCAGCGGCTAGCAAAATAAAGCAACATAAGTTGTTAATGTAGAGTATCTTTAGGTCAGAAGTAGAAATTTAAATTTATCCTGAGTAACTTGTTTCAAGTGAAACAGGGGTAATAATAACTACCACTCAGAAGAGTTGTGAGAATTAATTAAAAATATAAAGCATCTGATACTAATTTGTCATTCATTCCAGTTACTCTTTTGATTATGCTATTTGCTATTATCTTTATTGTTTAAGCTTCTTCTGAATAAATAGGTTGTCATGATAATGTCATACTAGATTATAGAAGTTTTATTGAATAACAATTTCCTACTAATAATGAGATAAATTTCATTTTCATTCAAAAGAATGAAATGCTGTTTTTAAAAAATGTGTAAATGACACACAACAAATAATGATCTTAACAAAGTTCTGTATCTTGGTAGAACCATGGTGATTGTGATATTTTGCAAGTAATATCTAGAGGAAGAATAAAAATCAACATGTGACTTACACAGTTGCTATGTCTTCTGTTTTCCTCAAGGCAATTTCTACAATGACAGATATGCTATATGGGGGCAGCAGTTTGCACACTATGGGCACAGGTATAGAGAGAGGATGGAAAAAGGTTTGTATCCAAGCTACATGCTGGCAAAAAAATGGTTTACCTGGTGAAGTCACAGACCTTGCTAAGGCTCAGTGACCTTAGCAAGTAACCTTGCTACATAGCAACAAATGCAATGTCTGTTTTAAACAATATTTTAAAATATACTTTGGATTATTTTGCATGTTTATACTTATTTTAACATGTACATTATACATCCAGTTTCTGTTTTATTTGCTATTTTCCTTTCACTAAAAGTGAAAGGAAAATAACTCAGTTTGCATGGCAGAGAGGATGTATTTGGAGATGCAGAAACTTTCTAAAATTGAAGGCCAAAAGGATTTAATTTTCAAAAGCAGGGTTTGAAGAGTAGGCTAACCATTTATGAGTGGGATTCTGTCACATGTTGTTAAAATTATGTTCTACTTGTACAGACTCTAGTTAGATAATTTTAGCTTATTACACTTCAAGTTGTAAGGAGAATTGCAAATAAAGGGATGGGTATTTAGGATTTATGTTAGGACTTTAAAGACACATGAGATCAGAAGTTAAATATTGTAGGTGCTGATTCTAGGAGATTTTTAGTTTGAGAGATTCATCATTTCACCATCTTTCAGACTTTATTTTATTGATGTAATCAAGAATAGATTTAGTGATTTTGGTGTTGTTGTAAACCACAAATTGCTTTCAATTTGTTTCGTTTAAGCAGCATCATATATGATTCAGAAATATAGGATCCCACCTCTTCAGGTATATGTTAATTCACATAGGCTAAGCAACATGGAAAGGTTAAAAGAAGTTTGTAGCACATTTGTAAAACCATAGAGAATGCAATTCAGCACACTTTTTATTGTTTTCTTTGTAAAATTATTTGTAGCATCAAAACAAATTTCTCCCACTCAAATGAACAAATAAATGGCAAACATAATTTGTTCATTCCCTGTTTTCTTTCTGGTTTCCAACTTTGGTTTTGGAAACCAAAGGGTTGAAAAATGCACATCACACCCCTGTTTTCTTGGAGCTCACAGATTTTTGTTTGAAACAAAAACCACTTTCTGTCATGAGGATTATATGGAGCAAGGGTGGAAAACAGGAGACCAAGAGGAAGAAACTGACGAGTCCCACAGAGACATTTTCAGGGATTATATGTCTCACGTCTTCACAATTACCTTAGTTTCTTTTGACAACTCATCAGTCTATCAAATATCAATTTAAAAATATTCTCTATCCAGTTTTTAAGATGTGCCATATAGACATTCTTGTCAGTTTCAGCACATTTTTCCTTCTTCTTTTGTCAATATAATCTGAAAGAAACGTATCCTTGACTGCTCAGTAACTTTTGTGCTTTACTTTATGGAGAACTTAGTCTACGATACACAGTTAAGCATAACAGAGTATTTCTTGCACAGAAAATCATTTGCACAGATATTTAATAAATTCTAGTCATAACAAAATAAATGGCTTACATCTTACACCTTCTATTTAAAAGACCTACCTAATGAGTACCTGCCTGAAGAATAATCAATTTGATGAAATGAAATAATATTTTATAAGGAGAATGTCAATGTATCTGTCTTGGATTTAGGACATAGCACCTGGTGGGACATGAGCTTGTTTGTTAGTTAATACAGCCATGTTTTCATAGCCATATCTAGAGAATGTGGTGATTTTTCAAAACTGCTGTTTATAGTACCCTGAAGATACAACTAAAAATATTATACATATACTAGCATATTAGATATATTAATATTATATATATTATACATATACTAGCATATTATAATATATATAGTGACTATATGATAACATAATCAAAGAACTCTCAAAATCACCAGATAGTTCCTCCAAGAGTTATAAATAGACCTGTCTGTCACTCACATAGAAAATGCCTAGAAACTATGAAATGTATATACACACCCACAACATTAAAAACAAATTTCTAGGTCTAGTCAGACAACAGACTTTTATGTCACCACAATGATTCAGCTTTTATTGAATCTCTGAACCCACTCTGTCTTATACAAACATAGGTACTCCAGCATTTTTATGAATAGAATTTCTAAACTTTACTTTAAACTGGTAATTTGCATTCTTGGACTTATAATCCGTTTCTAAGAGATGGATAGTACCAAGCCTCACATTTTTCCAAGTCTAACAATCTCTATCTTTTCACCAAAGTGGTTAGACTATATGTATTTAATATTCTCAATATAGTTGTGTTTACAAATTCCATGTTGCTATTATTTTGTTTATCTTTATTGACACTTATTTTTCTATTTTCTTGTCTTCTTTTGATTAAAAATGTTTCCCTTTGTTATGATTCCTATTTAATCTCCAATATTACTTTATATGGTTAGCAAAATAATGGCCAATCAAAGACAACGGCATTCTAATACCTGGGTCTATGTGATGTGATAAGTCAAAAAGAAATTAGATTATAGTTGGAATTAAGTTGCTAATCAGTTGATTTTAAAATTGGAAGATTATCATAGACTATCTGGATAGGCACAATCTAATCTTATAAAACCTTAAAAGTGAAGAAGTTTTTCTAGCTCTAGTCAGACAGAAATGAAACAAAAAAACAACAAAAAAAAAATGACTGGAAAAAGAGGCAAGAAACAATAAGCCGAGGAATGTGCAGGCTATCTTGAAACTGAGAAACACCAGTAAGGAAACAGCCCTAACTCATGGAACAGAATTGACAATGATCAAAGACCCACATCCTCTCCTAAAGCCTCCAGAAAGGCATGTCATTCTGAAGACACTTTGATTTTAGTGTGGTGATCACTATGTTAAGCTTTTTTTTTTTTTTAAAGATTTATTTATTTATGCATACACAAACTGGCATATAGGCCAGAGGTGTGGGAGGGGTGGTGATAGGATTCACCAGAGACAGAGCGGGGTACAGAACAGGCAGATTGACTGAAGTAAACTGCTGAGGGGAGCAGCGGGTGAGACAGGAGAGATCTGCTTTGCCATGTGGGTAGATCTGCTTTGCCAGTGATTGACTCGTCTGCAGAGGTTGCAGATTGCTTCATAGTGCTGTGTTCACCCCTAGCACCACCAGGGAGGCCCCACTATGTTAGACTTTCGACCTACAGATGTAAATAATAAATTTGAGTTGCTTAAAGTACTATTTTTTTAATGAGGTAACAGTTTATAATATTGTATTTGACTCAAAATTTATTTATTCTATTATATAAGTAATAGAAACTAATATAGTTTATTAACTATATATCATTATTTTGAGCGGTTGCCCTTGACTTTACAGTATATATCATTAACTTATAACCACCTCCCTTCAAATAACGTATCACTTCACATATGCTGCCAGGAACTTACCAGATCACACTTCAGCTCTCTACCTTCTACAATTCCTGCTGTTGGTGTCATCTGTTTAATTCTAAATATGTTGTACACCCCACAATCCTTTCTAAGATGTTGGCTTTAAACCACTTATTATATTTCCAACTGATTGAAATGAGAAAAAGGGGAAATAACTAAATCTTATTTTAAAGGAAAATATATACGTCTGATACACAGTGTGTGTTTTTTCTACAACAAGCAGATTTCCAATTCTCTGTGGACACCAACTGTGTGTCCTACAATTTAATTAAATCTGGCACCATATATACAGAATTAGCATGGATTCCATAGGTCCTGGCTTAAGTTCCACAAGATTGTGCCCCTATTCAGGTCCCAACAGCAAATAGTGGGTTCCTGAAATATCCGTAGTTCAATCTTATTCGACTACAAAATAGAGGTTCCCACAACTCCTTTCTCAGTTTCTATAATATGTTACAACAGCTCACAAAACTCAGTGAAGCACTTTAATTTGCCAGTTTAAGATAAAGGGGAAAAATGAATAAGAAAAACAGATTAAGGTCTGGAAGGCTCCCAGCCACAGAAGTTTCAATTTCCAAGGAATTGGGGTGCAGGTGAAAGCATTAACCAGCTTGGAAGCTCTCTAAAACCCACAGTTTAGAGATTTGTATTCATCATGTAGGCACGATGGATTATTAACTCAATCTTCAGCCTCTTCAGTTCCAATCTTCTAATTACAACTTGGTCTTTCTAGTGAATAGGCGCCATCTGAAGTCATCCAGGGTTGACCAGGAGTTGCCTAATAACAACAGAAGATGCCCCTATAATCCAGAAAATGCCAAAGAATTCAGGAATTCTGTATAAGATATTTCTATCACCATCATCATGCAGGGAATTGCAGGGTTTTAAGAGCTCTGTGTCAGGAATAGGCAGCACAGACCAAACATACATTTATTGTACTGTATCACATATATCTATACACATATTTAGCAATTCCCTCTACATTCTTATATGCAGAATTTCTGTCTAATATCATTACCTACTTCAT